GTCTCGCCAAGTTGCCCAGGCGGGTCTTGAACCCACGGGCTCAGGCAGTCCACTCACCTCGGCCTCCCAAAGTACTGGGATTACAGGCTGAGCCACCAAGCCCGGCCTAGACCTCTTTTTTTTTTTTTAAGTAAATGTTTTATGAATCGTAATATATACAAAGAAGCGCCCAAATCCGAAGTGTATATAGTTCAACAGATTTTCCCAAGTAAACAAACCTATATAACTCCTTCCAGATTAAGAACTAGACCACCCCATGGAGAGCTCCTGGGGCCTCCTCCCAGTCAGTGTCTGTTCCCCACCAGGGGATCCACTGTCCCGATGTCTGTCACCCTGGAGTTGCTTTGCCCATTTTGAGCTTTATAGAAATGGATTCCTACAGCATGGAGGCGCTTCCTGTCCTGTTTCTTCTGCTCAGCGTTGTGTCGGTGAGATTCCTCCTGTTGCAGGGAGCGTGGTTTGTTCCTTCACCTTGTGCGGCATTGCAGTTTGTGTGTTTGCCAACATAGTCGTGCGTCACGCATCGCTTAATGATGGGGATACCTTCTGAGAAGTGCACCATTAGGCGACTTGGTCACTGCGTGAACAGCAAAAGAAAAAAGTTTTTCCTTCAGTATGAGCCTAACCTTAGCTTCCTGCAAATTTTTTACTTTATAAATTTAATTTTTAAAATTAGCTTATAGCCGGGTTCAGTGGCTCAGCCTGTAATCCCACGCTTTGGGAGGCTGAGGTGAGTGGATTGCCTGAGCCCGCAGGTTCAAGACCCACCTGGGCAACTTGGTGAGACCTCATCTCTACAATAAATCAAAAAACTTAGCCGGGCGTGGTAGCGTGCGCCTGTAGTTCCAGCTACATGGAAGGCTGAGGCGGAAGGATCGCCGGAGCCCAGCACAGGTCGAGGCTGCGGTGACCGGGAGCGGCCACTGCACTCCAGTCTGGGCGCCAGAGTGAGACTCCAACTCAAAAAAACAAACAAACAAAAATTATCTTATACTTTTACTTTATAAATTTGAACAGCACAGGGATTGCAGATGTGAGCTGCCAAGCCGGGGGGTCAGCTCCAGTGACAGTGCCTTCTTCAGGAATTTCCTCTGAAGGACTGCCTGGTTTTTGATAGGTAGACAGAGTTGTGAGAGTTATTTACTTAACAGTGCTTTTATCAGATATATGGTTTGGATTTTTTTTTTTTTTTTTTTTTTGAGTCGGAGTCTCACTCTGTCACCCAGACTGGAGTGCCATGGCCGCTCCCGGCCACCGCAGCCTCGACCTGCTGGGCTCCGGCGATCCTTCCGCCTCAGCCTTCTGGGTAGCTGGAACTACAGGCGCGCGCTACCACGCCCGGCTAATTTTTTGATTTATTTTAGAGATGAGGTCTTGTTAAGTTGCCCAGGCGGGTCTCAAACCCACGGGTTCAGGCAATCCACTCACCTCAGCCTCCCAAAGTGCTGGGATTACAGGCTGAGCCACCGAGCCCAGCTTTTTTTTTTTTTTTTTGAATTGGAATCTCCCTCTGTTGCCCAAACTGGAAGACGGGAGCATGCCCATGGCCACCGTTTCCTCGACCTGCTGGGCTCAGGCAATCCCTCCGCCTCAGCCTTCCAAGTAGCTGGAACCACAGGTGCACATCATCATGCTTGGCTGATTTTTTTATTTATTGTAGAGACAAAGTCTTGCCAACTCGCCCAGGCTGATCTCAAACGCCTGGACTCAGCCAATCCTCTCGCCTCGGCCTCCCAAAGTGCTGAGATTACAGGTGTGAGTCGCCGTGCCTGGCCTCATTTACTTGTCTTTTATTCTCTCATTAACATTTTTTAAGCTGGGCTCGGTGCCTCACACCTGTAATCCCAGCACTTTGGGAGACCAAGGCAAGAGGATTGCCTGAGCCCAGGGTTTCCAGACCAGCCTGGGCAACTTGGCGAGACTTTGTTTCTACAATAAATCAAAAAGTTTGTGATAGATCGAGACTCTAACTCAAAAAAATTTTTATTTTATTTTTTTTTAGTTTTCAGCATCAACTCGTATACATCTCTTATTAGATTTATGCCTACTTCTTTTTCTATAAATGACACTATTTTTTATACTACTTTCCGATTATCCATTGCAGCCTAACCTTAGCTTCCTGCAAATTTTTTACTTTATAAATTTAATTTTAAAAATTAGCTTATAGCTGTATCTTCTGCTTGCTGCCTCCCCACTAGTTCTGGTGGCCTGTCTGCAGACTGCTGGGGACTTCCTTTTTTTTTTTTTTTTTCCGAGTTGGAGTCTCACTCAGTTGCCCAGGCTGGAGTGCAGTGGCATATTCATGGCCACCCCAGTGTCAACCTGCTGGGCTCTGGTGATCCTTCCACCTCAGCCTTCCAAGTAGCCAGAACTACAGGCATGCACAACTGCACCCAGCAAATTTTTTTTTTTTTGAGTTGGAGTCTCACTCTGTCACCCAGACTGGAGTGCAGTGACTGCTCCCGGCCACCGCAGCCTCAACCTGCTGGGCTCCGGTGATCCTTCTGCCTCAGCCTTCCAAGTAGCTGGAACTACAGGTGTGCACTACCACGCCTGGCTAATTTTTGATTTATTGAAGAGATGAGGTCTCACCAAGTGGCCCGGGCAGGTCTCGAAGCCGCGGGCTCAGGCGATTCACTCACCTCAGCCTCCCAAAGTGCGGGATTACAGGCTGAGCCACCAAGCCTGGCTATAATTTTTAATTTATTGTAAAGACAGGGTCTTGCCAAGTTGCCTGGGCTGGTGTCAAACCCGCAGGCTCAGGCAGTCCACTCCCTCTGCCTCCCAAAGTGCTGGGATGACAGGCTGAGCCACTGATCCTGGCCTCTTGGTGACTTTCAACAAAGTCAATGTGTTGTCTGTGAGCGAGGACAGTTGCGTTTCTCACTTTCCCCTCCATGTGTCTCCTTTTTGTCTTGCTGGACAGCAGTCACTAACCTCCAAGACGTATAGGATGCAGGCATCCCTGACTCACCCGGGAAAGTGCTGTCTCACGGAGTGTGACCTTAGCTGTGGGTTGGTCTTTGCTGCCCTGCGTCGGGTTGAGGATGTTCCCTTGCGATCCTGGCTTGCTGAGTTTCTTCTTGGGTGAATGTTCAGTGTCGTCGTATCTCGAGCTATTGCAGCATGTTTTGACGGCAGGCTTTCTGAGCCTCGGAAGCATTCTGCCGTGCTGCTGGAGGTTTTCAGGGAACTTAGAGGGCTTCTCTGTTTTGTTTGCTGCCTGGGGTCTTCTGTCCCTACCAGCTATGGTCTCCTCGCCAGCCCGCTGCCCCTCTGAAAGAAGGCATGTGGAGAGGCTACCAGTCTCTGCTCTTTCTTCTCACTGGGCAGCATTGCCCACGCTCCTCCCTATGGAGGATTGTGGCTACCCTATGGTCTCTGCAGAGCCATCCCCTGGTTTCTGACCAGTTGGGAACACAGTTAGGCATTCCTGTCCGTCTGGCCCTGCCTTGTCCTAGGCTTGCAACAGAACCTAGCTTGTGGGTGGCACTCAGGAAATATTAGTTTCCTGACTAAGGGATGCTGCTTGTGACACCTTCTTGGGTTGTTTTTTGTTTTTGTTTTTGTTTTAAGTAAGAGTCTCACTGTTACCCAGCTCGCTCTGCTGGGCTCAGGCGATCCTTCCCCCTCAGCCTTCCAAGTAGCTGGAACCACAGGTGTATGCCACCATGCTCAGCTAATTTTTTGGTTTATGGTAGAGATGAGGTCTCACCAAGTTACCCAAGCTGGTCTCGAACCCCTCGGCTCAGGCAACCCTCTCACTTCAGCCACCCAGAGTGCTGGGATTACAGGCATGAGCCCTGTGCCTGGCAGTGGGCACCTTCTGTTTGTGACTTCCTCGGACCCCTGAAGTCCCTGCTGTGTGGCATCCAGCTGTGCCACTGACATCTGCCCACTTCACCTTTTATGTCAGCATTGTTGAGTTTAAATCTGTTGAGAAGAAGGCACCGCTGTAGAAGAATGTGCGGGGGGAGCTGCCCATCCCACCCCGTGACATCGCCACCCCTCCTCGTGGCCTGCAGGCTCCTCTCCCAGCTGGCATCCCCCATCCTGCCTCCTCCCCACCTGCTCTGGCCCATGGCGTCAGCCTTATCAGACTGCGCCTGCTGACCAGAATGTTCCCTTTCCCACCCCATCTCCCAGGACTGGGGAACCCTCCTTGTCCGCCAGGACTCAACTCTGAAGTTACCCCAAGTGGGACACCTCCCTTCCCCTCGGTCCACAGAGCACCAGCCTCACCCCTCCCTCTGTCCTTCCTTGTGGATGGTGTCTGTTTCCACATCTGCCTCCCCTACCGGCGGGCGGGGATGGTGCATCCAATTTCTCTCAGTTGGCAGCCGCGGGCGTGGAAGGCAGGTCCTGGCCGGGGCTGGTCCTTGAGCCCCACACTGCCCCCTCCTCCCCAGGCAGAACTGATGAGCGGCCTCATTGAGTACTGCATCGAGCTGAGCCAAGCCGCAGAGCCCGCCGCCCCCCAGGACAGCACGACCGGTCCCGCCTCGGCCCCCGGGTCCTCGCCCCCTCCCACTCAGCGTCCCAAGCTGCGGAGGCAAGGCAGTGTGGTGTGCAGCCGAGTCCAGCACCTCTCGACCATCGACTACGTGGAAGACGGTGAGCCTCCCTCCTGGGTATGTGCACACACATGTACGATGCATACACGCCACGGGAAGTGTCGGAGGGCAAGGAGTTGCAGAGAATTCCAAAGCAGAGTGAGTTGGCCTCCACCGGCAAGACTGGCGGAATGCAGGGCCGTGCGGGCGCTCCACCCGCAGAGCCTTTTCTGTCCCTTCTCACGCTGCGTCCACACCAGCACTGTCCACAGTATGAAAACTGGAAGTTTCCCGGCATCTGACGTAAAGGTGTCATCAGTCTCCGCCGGGCCCACACCCTGGGGAGTCAGTGCCACTGGTTAGGAAGCCGTGTCCTGAATGCAGGTGGCATCCTGGATCAGGTCCTGGAGCAGAGGGCATTGTGGGAAAACTGGTGAAATCCAAAAGCCTGTCGTTTCGTGGATAGTATCACACCAGTGTTCATTTCCTAGCATTGACATGGTGACAGAAGCTGCGACGATGTCAGAAGCTGGATGGGGCCTATGGGGCTCTGTGCTGTCGTTACAGCTTTTCTATAAATCTAGAATGATTCCAGAATAAAAAGGGCTTTTTCATTTTTGAGGGGGGTCACACTCTGGTGCACAGGCTGTGTGCATTGGCACGACGAGGGCTCCCTGCAGCCTTGACCTCCTGGGCTCAGATGATTCTCTCACCTCAGCCCCTTGAGTTAGCTGGGACTATAGGTGTATGCTACCATACCTGGCTAATTTATTGTTTGTAGAGACGGGGGCCTCACTGTGTTGCCCAAGCTGGCCTCAAACTCCAGGGCTCAAGTGATTCTCCTGCCTCGGCCTCTCAGTGTGCTGGGATTACAGGTGTGAGCCACTGCACCCAGGCTTTAACTTTTTGTTTTTGTTTTTGAGTCAGAGTCTCACTCTGTGGCCCAGACTGGAGTGCAGTGGCTGCTCCCGGCCACCACAGCCTCGACCTGCTGGGCTCCGGCGATCCTTCCACCTCAGCCTTCCAAGTAGCTGGAACTACAG